TATGAGGTATTGAGTGACGATACAAAAAGACGTGAATATGATACCTATGGTCAGACATCCGAGAATATGGGTCGCCAGGGTGGAGGTTTCGGCGGTCATGGACCACAAGGATTTTCACAAAACTGGCAGTTTAGATCCTCCATAGATCCAGAGGAATTATTCCGTAAAATATTTGGTGAAGGAAATTTCCGCTCAAATTCTTTTGATGATTTTGCCGAATCACAATATGGTTTTGGCCGCTCCCAAGAAATGGTAATGGATTTAACATTTGCTCAAGCCGCTAGAGGAGTTAATAAAGACATTAATGTCAATGTGGTGGATACTTGCAATAAATGCAATGGCAGCAAATGTGAACCGGGCACAAAGCCGGGTAAATGTCAATATTGTAATGGTACTGGCATGGAAACCATATCGACTGGTCCCTTTGTCATGCGTTCCACTTGTCGCTATTGTCAGGGCACACGACAATACATTAAATATCCCTGCGCCGAGTGTGAGGGCAAGGGCCAAACTGTACAAAGAAGAAAAGTAACTGTACCTGTACCGGCCGGTATTGAAAATGGACAAACCGTACGCATGCAAGTGGGTAAAAAAGAATTGTTTATTACGTTCCGTGTCGAGCCTAGCAAATACTTTAGACGTGAGGGTGCTGATGTTCACACCGATGCTACCATATCCTTGTCACAAGCTGTTTTGGGCGGCACAATACGTGTTGAAGGTGTTTATGAAGATCAATGGCTAAACATTGAACCGGGCACTTCATCACATCATAAGATTTTTCTAAGAGGCAAAGGCCTCAAGCGTGTTAACTCTCACGGTCATGGTGATCATTATGTAAATATTAAAATAGAAATTCCTAAAAAACTAACCAAAGAACAAAAAGAGTTATTGCAACAATATGCTGAATTGGAAACGAATACACCGGGTTCGATACATGGCTTGGCCAAGCGGCAAGATGGCAGCAAGAAAGCAACGTAATGTATTATCAAAATGTTAAATTACTTTCCTATAAATTACAAGGTTAAAACTAATTTTGAAATTTCATTGCAATTACAGTTCAAGCGCTACACAAAATTCCACAAAAAGTGAAACCGAGTCATCATCCACAACAACAAAAACCTCTTCGTCCGAGTCTCAATCTTCTAACACACCGAAAACACCTTCAAAAGAAGAGGAAGATAAAAAAGATTCTGGTATATTTTCGAAACTAAAATCCATGTTTAATTAAATTAATTAATCGGCTGTCTTTTAATTATTAATCATTTTCTTTGTTAAATTCTTGTGTATTTTATTTTCCACTTCCCCCTTCTTCCTTTTAGCTGCTAAGAATTAGCAAGAAGTTTGTAGAACAAATGCCTCCCAAGATCGAGTTTTTTTTTTTATAAAATGTTGTAAATTTTATAAAAGAAAAGGAAATACAAGAAATAGAACATGTTATGTTATAATTGTTACGTTATTTTACATTAAAAAATAACAATAAATAGACAAAATAATAAAACAAATGAAGAGAAATGTGTTTTTTTAAGATTTGAAAAACAGATCGTAATATGCAATGGGATTGATTAATTGATTAATGCTAATAAATATTGGTTTAAAAGTTTTAGAGTAATATAAGCTTTTTTTATGGGCTTCAGCACCGACCAAACTAATTAAGTGAAAATGTTACGGGAAGCTTTAAATGTATTCGGGTTTTTCTGGAAATTGGTTTAAAAAGCTATCTATATATCTATCGAGCGATCTATCTATCTATCGATAGAGCGCTATCTATCGATCCATCTAGCTAGCGAGCGAGCGAGCGAGCAGCGAGCGAGCGAGCGAGCGAGCAGCGAGCGAGCGAGCGAGCGAGAGCGAGCGAGAGCGAGCGAGCGAGCGAGCGAGCGAGCGAGCGAGCGAGCGAGCGAGCGAGCGAGCGAGCGAGCGAGCGAGCGAGCGAGCGGCGAGCGAGCGAGCGAGCGAGCGAGCGAGCGAGCGAGCGAGAGCGAGCGAGCGAGCGAGCGAGCGAGCGAGCGAGCGACGAGCGAGCGAGAGCGAGCGAGCGAGCGAGCGAGCGAACGAGCGAGCGAGCGAGAGAGCGAGCGAGCAGCAGCGAGGAGCGAGCGAGCGAGCGAGCGACGAGCGAGCGAACGAGAACGAGCGAGCGAGCGAGCGAGAGCGAGCGAGCGAGAGCGAGCAGGAGCGAGCGAGCGAGCGAGCAGCGAGCGAGCGAGAGAGCGAGCGAGCGAGAGAGCGAGCGAGCGAGAGAGCGAGCGAACGAGCGAGAGAGCGAGCGAGAGCGAGAGCGAGAGCGAGCGAGCGAGCGACGAGCGAGAGAGCGAGCGAGCGAGCGAGCGAGCGAAGCGAGCGAGAGATCTAGCGAGCGAGCGAGCGAGCGAGGAGAGAGCAGCGAGCTATCGAGCGAGCGAGAAACGAGCGAGCGAGCTAGAGCGAGCGAGCGAGCGATCTATCTATCTATCGATCTATCTAGCTATCGAGCTATCTATCTATCTATCTAACTATCACT